GCCCCCCCCCCCTCCTTTGGGAATGGCCTAAAGACACTTCAGTCAGTAGCACCGCCCCTGGGGTAGGGGGAAGAGAGAGAGAGAGAGAGAGAGAGACACAGAGAGAGAGAGAGAGAGGCAAAGACAGAGAGAGACAGTCAGACAGACAACAAAGGCAAACAATCAGTAATAATATTTCAAACAGACACAAATATGCAGAAACAGGAAATGAGAGACATACACACAAAAACATTTACTCATAAACGGATACGGACACAAAGCGAAAGAGAACAAGAGAAATTTGCAATAAATAAATGCAAGAATCGAGAAAGCATTTCAGAAAGATACACAAAAACATTTTTTTTTTTAATCCACAATGACAGAGAGTAAAATAGAGTAGTGAAGCCTTCCCAACTAAGATAAGAATAAGAGCACCCCCCCCCTCCCCCCACCCCACCTCTAAGACACACCAGGTTACCTTAGCTGGAGCCTCGTCCGGCGAGGTCTCAGATGAGCTTGCACTGAGCACTGTCGGGGTGGACACACCTAGGGGCACAAACCAAACACAAACTACATACATAGACAGTAAAATGTGTGCATGTGTATCCTCCACAAAATTCTCTCAGTGAACCGGCAAGTTCATCAAAAGGATTTTTTCAAGAGTGATAGAGAATATATTTCACTTCGCTTGGATGCTTTGCTTTTCAGAGATATGACGCAGTTGCTAAAATACTGATTCTACAGGTAAAAGTTTTGTGAACTTCATGCACACAATGAGCAATCTTCTTCTGAGGCAACTGAAGAAAAAAACAACAACCCAAAACAAATCAAAATCAAAACCAACACTTTTAAGCTTAAGCATTCAGATGATAGAAACTGACAAATGCATATGAAGTTCTTTGAAACAAAATAAAGATATTTTCAAAAAGTGAACGACATAAAAAGCTAGTTACATAATTCACAATCTATATGACACTGAAGGACACTGGCAAAGAAGCAAAGAGTCAGTGAATACATTCATTGTATTCCTTGCAGGGTTGGGTTGATTTAAACCAGTTGATTTTTTAAATTTAAATCAACTTGATTTTTTTGATAAAAATCAGTGATTTAAATCACTTTTTAAATTTTTTAAAATTTTATTCAGTTTTTACGCATTTCAACATTGAGAATTCCTTTCCTTGGTTTCATAAAACAGACATACAGTTTAGTAGACTAATATAATCATGCTTAAAAGTCTACTTTCCCCCCTTTCACTGTAAAATAATACAGTATTCAATTTACTTTTTTTTTCCATAATTGAAATCAGAGCTGGGTTGATTTAAATCAGTTGATTTTTAAAATTTAAATCAACTTGATTTTTTAAATAAAAATCAGTGATTTAAATCACTTTTCAAAAAAATGTATTCAGTTTTTACATATTTAAACATTCAGAATTCCTTTCCTTGGTTTTATTA